ATGACACGACTCGACGCGCTTGCTTTCTTCTGACTTTAAGCGGTTTCAACCCTTCTTTGCACGTTCCCACGATCTCTGACAGTCTTCACACGTGGCAGTCCCGTATTGGTCCGCGTGTTTCCGTTGAGACAAGACAGAGCGTCCCTATCCTTTAAGGTGGCGGTTCGCGAATCGCCGGTTATCTTTGTAACGGTTACATCTTCTGAGTATAAATACTTCTCTTTTTCCCTTTCCTTGAATCATACAACCTTCTCTCTGCCTGACCCTTCGCTTTCGATTTCGCCTTTTCCTCTACTCTCACGGTTATCGTTCCCGGCGTTCCTGACCCCGCCGTGTGCTTTTGGTAAGTCTTTTCGCCTTCTTTCCCTTCCATCCTTCAATTAGCTAGCACGCTTTCCTTTTTATTTTCGCTTTGAGTTTATCGACCGCCGGGAAGAATGGCGGAACGAGCGGCAGAAAGTAGTAGCCGGACGATCTCTGACGAGGTGGGTCGTGAGGTCGTCTCTGACGAGGAGGAAAACCTAGAGTTGGCGCTGGGTTATTACCGTTGGGACCCGCTATTGGCTGAGCGCTTGGTTTTACGGTGGGACAACCACGAGGGCGACGCCGAGGTGGAAAGTGACCTCCCTGTTCGCGAAGGTTTCTGGAATCGCCCTCCCCGACGTTGGGCTAACCTTAACGTTCCATTCCCGGGCGAACCCAGCACGATGACGGATGCCGACGTGGTACTACTGAGGAAGTCGGCTCGGATTCCCCCCACAGTGAAGATGTTCGCCCCGTACCCTGGCGAGAGGATCCATTCTCCTCCTCCCGGGTGTGTGGGTGTTTTTGCCGAGACCATCAAGTCGGGGCTTAGATTCCCCCTTCCCAACATCATCACCGACTATCTCCGGGATTGGGGGGTCGGCATCTCCCAGATCACGCCCAACAGTTGGAAGAAAATCATCGGACTGCTGGTCCTTTGTGCTCAGATCAAGGTGCCGTTCCCGTCGATTGATGAGTTTCGGAGCGTCTTTTTCTTCAAACGTAGTCGGGAACGT